GTCGTATTAATCTAAAGCTCTTGTAGCTCACACTGGGGAGGATATAATAATAATCTGTCACTATAATTAAGATTCTGCCCCGCGCTCGATGATAAGGAAGGCCGTACGGCGCTAATACTTTGCGGTTGCTGCGTACGGATCGGTGCGAAAACATCGCACGTACGGATCCACACGTGTGATAGTGGCGTTAATCAAAAATGCCACCGAATGCCATAGTTAAACAAAAATATACTGCCTGCACTGGCCGCGCAATACAGCGCTGACCACCTAGGCCAAAAAGACCATAGAGGGCTGGCTTCCTGCCAGTAGTGCCCACCAACGGGGGCCTACCGCTGCAATACTATTTATTGCAGTGTAGTTATAATCGAAGCATGTTGCTTTTCTCAAAAACCTGTTATCTGTGGCGGAAGCTATCGCCCTGTAACTATCAGATCACGTGTAGTTGACCGTCGCCTTAAGGTTGGAAGGTTGGCAACCATGCCCAACACGTGAGTAGCACACTCGATTAGCGCCAAGTCCCGCGCCACATTTACACGCAACAAGCGCTCCGGGAGGCGGAGTCAACAGAGTCAACACCACTTGTCCGGGTAGTTTCAACCCCGAGCTGCGATTTCATATCCTCAGACATCCCTCACATAGGAAGCCTCCTGTTGTTGCTCCTCGGCTTCATCATTGTGCCACGGCTTTTGCTAGGCTTTGGCTACCCGGTCATAGATGTCACTGAACTAAAATTAACCGCCGACTCCCCGTCAAGCGCCGCCACCAACTTTGAAGGCCTTGCTGGCTTGCGACACATCGATATACTATATTGGCTTGTACGGATCCGTCTGTCCTCCGTCTTTAAACCAGCCAAAAAGGAAAAAATAGCGACGTAAAAGAAAATAGATATTTCAAACCAAGAGACAGAAAAACACTGGCACCTTTCAAAGACAGAGATATTTTTACGTCAACGTTGATACGGCCATTCTCTTTACGGAAACGAAAAGATGGCTATTTGTATTACATTTGGGACTCAAGGTACATTGCATCCATTCAAGCAAAGTGGAGATACAATGATCAAACCCTTGTCGCCCTTGTATGCTTATAGCAGGAGGAGGAGAGTACGAAATGTTGGAAATGAGCCCTTTACTAATGATTCATTCCAGAATTTACGTCGCGCCTTAAGGGATATGAAAATGTCACTGCACAATGCCATAATTGTAAGTTTGGCGCGCGTTTAGCCGGAAAGGATTCCCTTCCCTTCCCTGGTCCCGTATGAATCGGAACTGGTAAATGCAAAGCAA